AATTAATTAATGGCAAGTAGATAAGGAAAATCCATCTCAATAATTAATGACGATGGATATATGTCGCGTACTTTTCCTATATAATTAAAATTAAAATAAATATATATATAATCCATTTATTATGGACAATTTGACACGACCACAACCAAGTTGCGTTTCCTACATCTCAGTAGCATCCAGACCGTGTCCTGATTCATTGGAAAGCAAATTTGACTTTTCTACACTCTCGGATAAGGCAGATCGGATAGGGCAGATCGGCGCGGGGGTGAAAGTGGTTTATTTGAGTTTTTTTTATATAAGATTAAATTTTATGGGATCTCATATATTACATGAAGTTTAAAAATGGGATTAAAATTCTAATTTGTTCATGAACTGTTTTGCCAAGAGCACTAGATATCTTGAAATTAAATATAACACAATATTGCCCTTCATATATTAAAAAAATATAGCAATATCATACATTAAATATTCGTTAATCTAATCATTAGTTGATAAAAAAATTATAGATAATAATCTAAAAAATTGTAAAAAATAACTTAAAAATTTAAAATTTAAGAGCAAATTAGCACTTTAACCCAGCTTCCTTCAATCAAATGTTACAATCATCAATTTAATTACCAGAAAATTTTGCCACAAAAATAATTGAAACACTTGAATCCATCAAAACTGACAAGGGTACAAAGTAATCAACACAACAACACTAGGGGGTGAATTCAAATATTGGTCAATGAAGGTTTAATTAAATTGTTTGTTGATTTAGATTAGTTCTTAATTCACACATCCTCAACCAAATTTCAACCAGAAAATCCACAGCCAAATCAAGCAAGGCAAATGCAAATCAACGTGGTGAGAACAAGAGTGAGAATCATGCATTACAAGCTTAAACGCAATTTCAGCCTCAATCCATTTGAATCAAAAGTGAGATTGATCTATAGAAAGTTTAAACGCACCATGGGTGGGAACACCTGGTCTACTAAATAAAGAGCAAATTGACGTGCTCGATAGGATTGCACCAAGATGAAACTGGGAATGCCTTTGGGAGCTTATAAAACATGTTCTCAATCCTTCCAATCCCTTTGATTCACAAGGCAAGTGCTCGATGATTGGAGATTAATTTTAGAGATTGCTCAATGAAGAACCTAGGGCACGAGTGGCAAAGAATGTTAGGGAGTGAGTTAGGGAGAGAATAAGGTCTTTGGGAGACTAATTCAAGCAATAATTGGTTTGGAGGAGGATGAAATTGCAGACAGTTTGAAGGGATAAGAAATTTCAGAGAATGGGTATTGTGTTATGTTGTTTGAAGTAACGCCTACAACCTTCGAAAGGGGAGTTAAAAAACTATACGTTTGACGGTTATATGTTTAATTGTCAAATTTATCAGTCTAACAATAGTTAAGTTTGATGGTTAAATATATAACCGTTAAATATTTTGCTTTACTTATTTGACAATTAAGGCCGACAACCGTTAAACTTATAAAAATAATTTTTCAAAAATATAAAATTTTGATTTTTAACTCTAAGTTTAATGGTTTAATTTCCCTTGGGACGGTTAAATATTTGAACTTATATATTGATGATTAAGCCATTAACCGTCAAATATTAGCTTCCTCATTCTCCACCTCCCCTTATTCAACATGTTTAATTTTCTTGTAACCGTTAAATATTTATGTATCAAATATTTAAAAATATGTAGAAATGTTTCTTGTTTTCTTCACGTTTTTATCATCAGTGATTGTTATTCTCGCCAATTCTATAAAAATAAGCTCACCATTTTTAATTTTTAATTTTTAATTTTTATTTTAAATCTCAGCTTGTATCTCTTTCACCTTTAATTTTTTTTTTACACCATCCAAATAATGAATTTTGAATGTGAAATTTTAAATTTTAAATTTAATTTTAAATAATCCATCAATCCAAATGCTGTCTAAGCAAATTTATTTGACTTTTTATATAAGATTAAATTTTATGGGATCTCATATATTGCGTGAATTGAAGTTTAAAAAAATGGGATTAAAGTGCTTTGCCTATGAACTTTTTTGCCAAGAAAAATGAGCAGTTTGGAGTTAAAAGTGGTACAATATAGCCTTCATACATTGAAAACCATAGCAATATTGGCCCTACATAGAATAATTGACAAAAAATTGCTGAGAATGACATAAAATTATAGAAAATGACTTTATAAGAAAATTAATATTGACCAAGTCCCTTAAATTAGAAATTAATTCTAATAAACTAATGTTATTTCTTACCTATATAAAATATGAAAATGTCATTTTAACCCACCACTTTGACGGACTACCAAATGATTATTAGATCACCATTGTTAGTAACAACACTTATAAGTAATTAAAAACAACACACTATTAAAATATTAGTACTTTAATATTTGATAGTTCAAATATTATTTTTATTATTTAAAAATCTTCACACACATCTTACACGTCAACTTTTAAGATATTAAATTTTTGAAGGAGGGCTTATTAATTTTGGAGGAAGACTTTTAATTTATCATATTATTTTAATTTACAAATTACTGATAAATTTTAAAAAAATAATTGAACTTTTAATATTTAGAAGATAATTTATAAATTTTGGATTAATATTTATAAATATTTAAATATGAAAATATTTAAAATTTTAATGATATTTTATTAAAATAAATATAATTTTTTTATTTAGTTATCAATGTTTTCAGCATTGGTGCTCTGATAATCACTCGGTTGTTGGTTAAAGTGATTAACCTAAAATGATGTTTTCATAATTTATATGGGTAAAAAATAACAATTAGTCTATTATAATTTATTTGTATTTTAAGTGATTTAATCAATATTGATTTTCTTATAAGGTCATTTTCTGTAATTTTTTGTATTATTTTCTATAATTTGTTAGGTCATTCACTTTTTTTTGTTAACTAGTAGTCAAATTAATGCATATTTAACAGAGGGATGATATTGCCTCATTTTTTAATATGTGAAGGGCAATATTGCACCATCCTTGACTCTAGGATGTCCAGCAATCTAGGAAAAAGATTTAGGAGCCAATTAGTGGCTTGTCATTAATTTTATGGATTGTAATTAATGGCTTGCTATAGTTTTTATATTTTTTATTGATTGATAATTAAAAGAGGAATGATATTAAAGGATAAAAAGATTAAATCAAACATAAATAAGAATAAAAAAAATTTGGAAATCAAAAATAAGGACAAAAGATCCTATAGCCAAAAACCATTAAAATAAGAATTTGCAAGCGAAATTCATTAATTTGTAAAGAATAAACTTGTCAAATATATTATCATTTTCAATGATTTGCTACTCTTCCAAGTGAAATTCATTAATTAGGGTAAATAATAAACTTGTCAATTATATAATCATTTTTAGTTATTTACTACTCTCATACCCTAATTTGCAATCATAAAATAAAAAATTTACAAGTAAAATTCGTTAACATGTGAAGAAAAATGATTTCCAAGTAATAATACATTTGACAAGTTTTATATTTATAATTAAAAAATCGAATCTCAAAAAATGACTATTGCTTTATAAAATTAAAAGGCATGTTTTATAAAAATATTAAAAATACAAAAAATAATTAATTTATGTGATGCCAAAGTCAGCTGCCCTATTTCAAATTGGAGTAGCGTTTGAACTAAATGTCCTTTTGAACAAATCAATTAATTATAATTTAAATTAAAATATGACTGAATATTTAACTCGGTAGGTTAAGGTCTTTTTCCTATATGATTAAAAAAATTAATTGTATATTCATTTTGTGGTTCATGCCACTGTTTCAAATTTTTAAAAAAGAATAAAGTACACATTATAAATTTATTTAAAGTTTTAGTTTGGCGCTTTAATTTTAAGCTAAATATACATTTTTGCTACTCAAATATTCTTCCAAGAGCACCTAATATCTTAAAGTAATTGTTAGAGCATTTTTGCCTTTAAAGTTAATTAAATTTGGAATATCCTCTAGTCTATCATTAAATCTCTAAAAATATCTATTAAGTCAAAGTTTAGTCCAAGTCAGCTTTTTTTAACAAATGTTTCTAGGGATTTAACGACAAGATAGAGGATGTTCTGATTTAATTACTAAGCAAAAATGCTCTAACAAATACTTTAAGGTATTAAGTGTTTCTCAGAGAATACCTTATTAGGGGTAAAAATTTACTCTCACCTTTAGTTTTATAAAATGTCTTTTTAACATTTTAATTCTATCCTTTTAGCATTTTAATTCTAACATCATTAATTTCAAGTGATATTTTCTACATAACTCACTGTTATTTAAAAAAAAATTATAGTATGTTAACATTGAAAATATGAGATGTGCCAATTTATGAATAATATGGCTTCCTCGATTGATAACAAAATTTAAGTACGTGATAAATTAGGGATAAGGATTAATAACAAAATTTAATGATAAATTAGGGATAAGAAAAATAAATTAACATGCCTCAATTTTGATTGCAAATCCATTGTACTGCTCACATGTAACGATACTGTCAAAATTATTTATTTATCTTGTTTGTATAAAAAAATGTAAAATCAGAAACATTTTTCACTATGACTTTTCCAGCAAAAATACCAGCTAATGAAGTTTTGAAACATGCAAGACTTAAAGACGAGCTGGTCAATTGGGCAGTACTTTGGCCCCGCGAAGCTGACCTAGCCTTCTGGCTGCTGGTTGACCTTTTGTATCTTTGGAATCTTGAATCATTCATGAAATAAAAAAGAATGGCTAAAATATACAGATCAATTCGTTTAAACATTGTGGTTTCCTGCAACGGGAATTTGGAAAATATCCGACTAAGTGTCGCACTTTTTTTTTTTGGGAAATTCGACGCGTGTAAGAACATCTTGATCTAGTCGTTAAAAACAAATTCCAATTTTCTACAACAAACGTTTGAGTCGTCTAAATCAAGCTCCAAAGAAGCATAGATCATTGTCCTATATAAATACCATTGGATTGGTCCTGCCTTGAAAAACAGCAAAACTTGCCGGCTACAAAACACACAAACACTACTTGAGGCTCCATCGCTTTTTTAGCAATTTAAACATGTTTTCTCTAAGCTCCTGGCGTCTCCTCTTCTCTCTCCTTTGCAGTCTTCTCGTTCTTCAGGCACATTGCGATGATCCTAAGGTAAAATAATCTCTCTTGATCTATATCTATCTATCTACTTCGGTTGATTATTTTATCTCAGTTTTACTTGTCAAATTTATGGAAGTTTAAGAGTAAAATGCTTAAAATGTTTTTCCTCACACTCTGAAGGCACAGACTTATATCGTGTACATGGGGGATCATTGGAAGGAAATGAAAGTCGCTGAATTACATCACACGAGCATAGTTCAAAGAGTCCTTGGCAGGTTCTTGCATATACGTTTTCAAGATTTCAAGATTTCAACTCATTATTATTCATTTTTATAAAAGGCTTATTAGATGATCACTTTATAAGTTTTATATTCTTTCTCCGTCATTGAGAGAGTCCCACAACAAGCTGACGATCCAAAATGCTTTTGGTTCAGAAACTTTGCCCGAGAAGCTCTGTTCCACAGCTACAAGAAGAGTTTCAACGGATTTGCGGTGAGGCTAACACAAGAGCAAGCTGAAAGAATGGCCGGTAAAGTATACAGATGTGCTTTTTTCTTCCTCTACGACCTCATCAAACATGTACATACAAGAGAGTATATATTTACAAAACATGATGCCATGTTCATCAGAAATGGATGGGGTGATCTCTGTTTTCCGAAGCGAAAAGCACAAGCTCCAAACAACGAGGTCCTTGGACTTCATAGGGTTCCCAAAGCAAGTGAAAAGAACAAGTTTCGAGAGTGACATCGTGGTCGAAGTAATCGATTTTGGAATTTGGCCCGAGGCTGACAGCTTCAACGACCATGGATTTACTTCGCCACCCAAAAAATGGAAAGGATCTTGCCAAAACATCACTTGCAATAAGTATATCATTATATCCTTACTTCGTCAACAGAATGTGCGCGTGTGAGTGCGCGCGCGCGCGCGTGTGCGCGTGTGTGTCATGTCACTCAATACTTGTACAAATATACATGCAGCAAGATTATCGGAGCAAAATACTTTAGAGTGGATGGTACGTTCGACGAAGACGATATTATATCTCCAAGGGATTCAAATGGTCATGGAACTCACTGTGCATCCACAGCTGCAGGAAACTTGGTTAGCTCAGCGAATCTATTTGGTCTAGGTTCGGGCACAGCAAGAGGGGGAGTCCCTTCAGCGCGTATTGCTGTGTATAAACCTTGTTGGTCATCAGGTTGTGAATCCGCTGACATTCTGGCAGCATTTGACGAAGCAATCTATGATGGCGTTGACATACTTTCAGTATCACTTGGTCCTTCTAGGGAGATATACCGTGACTTCTTTGAGGACGTATATGCAATAGGATCTGTCCATGCAATGAAGAAAGGCATTCTAACCTCAAGTGCTGCCAATAACTTGGGTCCAAAGCTCCGGACCATGACTAGTTTTGCGCCCTGGTCGCTTCAAGTGGCTGCTTCCACTATTGATAGAAAGTTTTTCACCAAGGTTCAGCTGGGAAATGGCATGGTTTTTGAGGTTCATACTAATCCCTTTCTTCATTAACACTTTTCATAATCAATTCAATGAGAACGATTATAACTTAGTTTCTCCACTTTATGTGCAGGGGAATCTCGTTGAACACCTTTGATCTTCACAACAAAACTTACCCGTTGATTTATTCTGGTGATGCACCCAATATCACCGGTGGATTTAACAGTTCCATATCAAGATGTTGTTCTTATTACAAGACTACTATTACTAATAGTATAATTATATAATAAAACATGTCTAAGAAATGATCCATCATAATGGTATTCTATTAACTAATTGTTGGATAGGTCTTGCATCGAAAACTCCTTGGACGAAGCAATGGTGAAGGGAAAAATAGTTTTGTGTGACAAGTATTTGCCTGCTCAAACGGGACTAGCATCTGGGGCGGCTGGGATTGTGGTTCCAGGCATTTCCTCCAAAGACTGGGCATCTTTGTTCACTCTTGCTCTTCCTCTTGCTGTGCTTACTCTAAACGATGGCACATCCATTTTCTCTTACTTGAATTCAAGCAGGTATAGATCATCAAACATCTCATATATATATGGTTTCCTTGTTACTACTGATTACTAATCCTTTTTGTTCTCTGAGCTGCCAAAATTCTGCAGTAATCCAACTGCTACTATATATAAGAGTAATGAAGGCAAGGATTCTTTGTCCCCTTACGTGGCTTCCTTTTCTTCAAGGGGTCCAAATGTGATTACTCCCAACATTCTCAAGGTAGGGTCATAGCAAGTTCGAAATTTTTCTGCTAGCTTTTACAAGGCCAAACAGTGAAGTGATTTTGTTTATGTCTTTGTACGTAGCCTGATATCGCTGCCCCGGGAGTAGATATCATAGCCGCATGGTCTCCCATTTCCCCTATTTCACATGCAAAAGGAGACGAGAGACTATCAAACTTCAATATTATATCAGGAACTTCCATGGCTTGCCCTCATGCTACTGCAGCAGCCGCCTATGTCAAGTCATTTCATCCCACGTGGTCTCCAGCAGCAATCAAGTCTGCCTTAATGACCTCCGGTAATTAATTAATCCACCAGTATCAACTTTGTAAAGCTTTCATAAAGCTCTTGTTTTTCTTATGTTTATATGCATTTTCCCCCTCTTGTTTCCATGAACATCTATTCTGACTAATGACTATTCATATATTGCAGCCACGCTAATGAGTTCCGCTCTCAATCCGGAAGCTGAATTTGCATATGGAGCTGGACAAATCAATCCCGTTAAGGCTGTGACTCCTGGTTTGGTATATGATATCAGTGAATCGGATTATGTGAGTTTCTTGTGCGGACAAGGTTATAATATGACAAGCCTACGAATCATTACAGATGATGTCGTCAACTGTGAAAAAGCTAAGAAGGAAACAGTGTGGGACCTGAATCTGCCATCTTTTGCTCTGAAGAGAAACATCTCAGCACCTTTTAGCAATGTGTTTCATAGAACTGTGACAAACTTTGGAGTAGCTGGATCTATATATAAGGCTAGAGTGATTGTTCCTCCATCTTTGTTGAGTATTCAAGTGACACCAAATGTTTTGTCGTTCTCATCTGTGGGTGAGAAGAAGTCGTTTACAGTTACAGTTGAAGGAAGAATAAATGTGGAAATAGTCTCCGCCTCTTTGATTTGGGATGATGGTAATTTCCAAGTGAGGAGCCCCATTGTGATTTACAGTACTCAGTGAGTACTCACTGAGTGTCAGACATGGATTTACAGTCTTGAACTTGCAACAGATCATTATATTCTTTTAGATAATTCTTAAAGCGTGTCAATGTATAATAGTTACTGCATGGTAGAATATTTGAGGGGATTATATATGCGAAGAATAAACATATCAGTCCATATGTTGTAGAAAGACAATTATTTTTTGGACCATTATATATTGCAGTGTCTGAACAATATAAGAAGACCACAAAAGAGAGCTAGCTAATTCGAGATGCCACGAACTTAAGGAAAACATGAAGAGCTAAGGTTTTGATGTGTTTGAATAAACGATCTATGCCTTCATCCAAATTAATCTCGTTATGCGCGACCATGCTTCCTGTAGAAAATTAAATTTGTTATTCATGACGGTGACTTCCTTCGTATTATCGGCTACATGACCCTCATCTGCCAACTGGGTTCAAATATAGTTACAGGATTATTAAGCAGCTGAACACAATTCTCTAAATTATGTTCTCTAAAATAACAAGTGAAGAAGATATACTTCCTCCGATTTTTTTTAATAGAACACTTTTTAAAAATATTTTTTGATATTTAATATAAAACATACTATGAGGTTTTAATTACGTTTTTTCAATATTATTTTTATTTAAACTCATTAACTATAAGAGAAAATATAATGCAAATTTAAAATTCTTTTTATTGAAATAAGGGCAAAACTAGAAGTTTATTATATTGTTAAACAAAGTTAATAATTTAAACACTTCTCATTGTTCCAGTAAGATAGTTGGATAACACATCTTTTGGTGCGTGAAGTGTCTGAAAGTTGATGAATCTAGAGAGAAGAAGTGCATGGAGTCACCAGGAATTGTAGAAGCAACAGCAACCCAGGGCTAAGATGGAAGATTTAAGAAGATTATATATGCCGCAAGGGGTAAAACATTGAAAGCAGCTAGAATACAATGTAGCCATTTGCAAATTTTTATTTTATATATATATATATATATATTGTCATATCTTATGTGAATAAATCATTTCTTAGTTTCTATATATAACATCGGATATATTAAAATTTGTATGTCATAGAAGCCAATAACTTGTCCTTAAACTTCTGTTTTTCTTTTTCTATTTTGGAGAATTACAAATAGGTCATAAATAAGAGATTTACTCATATACAAGTTCATGGATTGGTTGAAACTAAATGAAATCTTAAAATTTTTAGTGCCAGAGAATTAAATTGTCCCTTATTCAAATTTTATATATAGACTTATAACAAATCTAACTTTTAAATTTACAACTGTCACATCCTAAAAATTAAATGTGACTGACACGGGATGTATACATAATCATACATCACTTAAGTCGTGATAAAAAAAATCTTAATTTAATATTTAATATTTATTTTTAAAACATAATTAAACTCAAAATAAAAGTTTTAATGTTTTTATAAAAATTTTGGCAAAACTTTCTCTATAAATAGAATCTTCCGAAAATTCTACAATACAATATTTCTACCAAAAACATCAAGTCAATCAAAAGCAGAGCTCCTTCTAACCAACAGACAAAATGTATAACAGCATAAACAACCTAATCACAAACTATGTGGAGCACCTAACAGTAAGTTTACAAAAATAAAAATTTATAATTAATACTTTACATCAAGAGAAAGTTAAATCCTTAACTTCTCCACTTCTAGCCAATCATAAATTCTTCAATGCCTAGTTGGTGGTTCAGCATCAGCTACACTATCTAAAACCAAAATTATTTTCGGTAAATAACGTTCCAAAAATAATTAATTAATTTATTACACATAAAAAAAAGTTAGAAACACAACGATCGTCCTGAAAATTCAATTAAATTTGGAATAAAAGGATTCTATGTAACCTTAAATGAAATTTTAAATCATTAAACCATCATATCAAATATTATCACCTAATTTCAAAGAAGCAAATAAACAAAATGGATAATTATAAATAGATTACTAATTAAAACCATTAAAATATAAAATCATTAAATAATCAAATTCATGTTTATAGGGACTCTTCAGAACAATTGACAAACGTGGAAACACAATCCACGAGGGTAAGTAATCAGACGTGATCATAGCCATAAAATAGACGTAGGTAGGATACCCACGAATAACAGACGTAAGAACAAAATTCACAAAAATCAAACTAACTAATAATTGACCATGGCATGCCAAGGGGTAACAGAACTGCCGTTAGCAACTAGTGTTCTGTCTAAAATTCCTTTAAAAATTAATTTTCAAATATGCGAGAAAAATAATCATTATCGAATTTAAAATTTTCTCTTCTCTATATCAGACTCGCATAAATTATGTAAACACCCGTTCTTTTAATGTAAAAACTTACAAACACTTTCACAAATTTTCATGATTATCCTTGTCGAATAAAAGATTACAAGAACTTGTAAAAAAAAAAAACAATTTGAACAATGTTATAAGCACATAACATGACTTTGTGAAATAGAGTTATTCAACGAACAGAAATAATCAATGTTTATGAAATATATACATATACACACACATATATAAATAGATAAAATTGTGAATTGTTGAAATCAATATCTTTGATGAAAAGAAACTTTGTTAATAAATTATTTAGAACGTTATCTACTCATCTAAAAATCCCAAAGATGCAAAATTCACCTTTAATTCCTATCAAAATCTTTTTCTTCCACACATCCTATATAAAAAAAATATAAAATAATACAATTTAATTTAATTTCTTTAAATTATAAAGATTTCTTTCCCTTTCTAAGCCAATCCCAGAATTAAATCATAAAGAAATAGTATACTCTAGAAATTAATAACTATAAAATCTTCAAGAATTCACTTCATCTCTCAATAACATAAATAAATTTTTTTGTAATATTTGATTAGTTCACAAATGGACAACACCCCAAGTCAACTCATGTTCCTTGTGAGATCCCACAAAGTTATAGAAAAATTCCTATTTAAGTATCTCCTTTTTCAAATTTTTGAGCTGAATTTATGGATAACACTATTTAAGCCAATTATGTCTTTTAAAAAATTTAATGAAACTTTAATAATTACAATTTCAAGCAAAACTCTGCTGAAATATTTTATCAAACACCTCATATGTATTAAACTTTAAACTAATAATTCAAGTTTTTTTTTATTTCAATAACTTCCTCAATACCTCAATACCAATTTTAAATTCAAAGATAATTAAATCAATTTATTCTTCTGGTAGAACCAATGTAAGTAAGAGAAATTAGCTAACAAAAACCATATTCTTAAGCTTAAATCTTGAATATGATCAGACTCCCTTCTACTACAATCACACACAGCTACAACGAGAAAGGAATAAAAATCTCCAGCCATCACAGAACATCAACAACGCAGAAAGAAAGGGAAGAAAGTCACGAGCTGTACAGGGGAGAAGGGATTCGCTGCAAACAAGCCACAACACAGTCAGAGGAGGAAGATTTTTGTCACTCCTCAGCCACAAGCCACGGACGAACAAGGACAAAAGGCAAGGAAGAATAAGATCTGAGCACTCACCTCCACACGGAAAGCAAAAAAAAAAAAAAAAAACATGAACAGAGGAGGAGAAAGAAAGGGTCGACGGAACAGGGGAGAAGACGACAGCCACACACCAGCCTCCCTTTCATGAATCAGACCTCCAAAACTCTTAGACCAGCTCCTTGCGTGCTCACGATTCTTGAACGGAAAGAATGGAGGAGAAAAAAGAAGATTCAACAGCACAAACAGTAAAAAAATACAGAGATCGACGGAAAATTAAAGGACCATGGATTCACGACCTGAGCTTCTAGCAGTGGAAGACCATAGCACACGTTTACAATGCCGGCGACCTGATTCTCACACCCATCAACAACGCATGCGTGAACGACGAGGACTGAACAAAAAAAATGAAGGAAATGAACAGCAACAGAAAGCACGACGGAGCTTTGGGCGTGCACAGCTGCGGCGAGCTTCCACCTTCACCGGCGACCACTAGAAATGGAAGGGAAGAGACAAAGTACAATGGGGCAGAAAATCAGAGCTCTCTCACTCACACACGGTTCTGGAAAAATCGAAGAAGGGGAGGAAGGCATATATTCAGATTTTAAGAAGTGTAAATGGTAATTTTAAGAAGAATTGAAGCAAAAAGAATTAAATCTCTCTTCTTGAGCTCCTTGTTTGAAATTTGGACCTCCTAATTATATAGTTTCACTGTCTTCACCAAGTCAGCTCTTATTTCTTAACATATTTACTCTAAAATTATTATAATATATTTAAAATACAATATAATAATTACACTTAAAATTCTTAAGATATTACAATAACTCATCTCTTAAATTTGAGGATAAATTTACATAATTTTTGTAAGTCGAACTCGTCAATAGATAGAGAAGAAGCACCCACTTTTCGCTAGAAGTATCAACCATCACCCAATACAACTTTCAGACCCATCGCCTTCTCTATTTCTTCAAGTTTTAAACATATAGCTCTAGTCTGCTTTTAGTTTAAGCCCTTTTGCATTTTTCTTATGTTTCAAATACTTGTATTTAGCCGTTTAAATTTGTTATATTTCTCAACTAGTCCTCATCTCAGTTCTCATTTCATGTACTTGTTTTTTTAATTAAAGTTTATTCCTTTTTACTTCTTAATTTCCCAACTTATTTTCAATTATATTTTATCTTTGTAGAATTAGATAAACTGCAGTAAGGGACACTGGGATACCCACAGTCTTGTGAAATCAGGTTGCCGTTTAGATAGGTGAGAGCTTTGAATATCTAGCACACCTGCTCAATCTCATCAGCAACAAAAACATATTTTTAAATTCGTTTTCAGTGACCCCCGTGAATATCCGTTAGTTAATAAATTAACTTTCCGAAAGCTAATTTCAAGTGAGGAGATTGTTGTGTTCAATTCACCGGAATAGGTCAATTGACGAGTAAGTTGAGGTTGAACTATTCAACCTTTTGCAAGATTTGTGTTCGATCATTAATTTAACCCATTGATTTACTGTGTGAGGGAACCATATAACACATTTTAATTAGTGTTATATTCCCCCCAGTTCTTCATATAAGTGGAAGTTAACAAAGCGCTTATTAAAAAATGTTAATTATAATTTTAAAATTATAAAAAAATATAAAACTTTTTAATTTTATCTTTCTTTATAATTAATAATCATAATAAATTGTTATTTAGAAATTTAAATGATAATAAATAAATAAGTGATCAAAATGAAAAAAAAATACTCTAACTTTGTCTTATATTAATGACAAACAAAAAATCATTCAAACTTCGTCTTATATTAATGATTGGAAGTAATATATCCAAAAAAAAAAAATCTTTACCGTCCAAACCTTTCTTTTTCCCCGGTAGAAGGTTTAGAAGTTAGGAATTTTGTAGCTTTGTGGGTGAGAGAAAAAAAGGTACATTAACTTGGATTTAATTATTAGCTGAACTATATTTTTGGTTTATAAAATTTTGATTTAATTTTTTAATTTAATAAAGTATCTTTTCAGTCCTTTAACCTTCCATTATTTTCATATGATTATTTTTTGTGTCAATTATAGTTATTCTAAAAAAAATTAAATTTAATATATCAATATTTAAAAATATTTTGTTAATATTTAAAAGATCAATGTATGAATTTTTTGTTAATGAAACTAAGCTAAAAGACCAAAAAAAAATACTTTATAAAATTAAACAACAAAAATGAAATTTTATATAAAGTTAATGAACTAAAACTATATTTTAACCTTAATTATTCAAATCATCTCACTGACTGGAAATAGAAATTATAAGAGTTTGAGCGCAAATGGATTATTATCAAATCCTTCCACTTCCAAAAGCTAAATAAGATTGAGGAACAAGGACGGATTAAAATGGATTAAAATTGAACAATTGGAGCCAAACATTTTTTTTTTCAAACAAAAATATGTTAAAACATGCAAAAAAAATACTGTCAAAATTATTTATTTATCTTTCCTATTAAAAAAATAAGAAAAATCGGTAAACTTTTTTTCTCTGCTTTTTTAGCAAAAATTATTTTTCTATTGAAAATAATTTTATTTGAGGAATTTTTGAGTATTAAATGTAGATGTCTCCCGGCCCCTAACAGGATTCAAAGCGAAACTTAATGAAACATGCATACAACTATACAAGATTTTTTTTTTCTTTTGGCTGCTATTACAACTATAGAGGATGAAGACAAGTTGGTTAATTGGTTAGTACTTAGTACTACTTAATTAGACCCAACAAGTCTGACCTAGTAGCGCTGGGGCTGCTTTATATGCCCTCTGTCTGCTAGACTGCTAGAACTTTTATAACTTCGGCATAATGAATAATTCGTGAAATAAGATATTAGAACTTGCTGACTTAATGCGATTAACTTTGATTTGTTCAAATCACATCACGCGATTGAAAATAAAAATTAAGAGTCGGAACGCAAGTGGATTATTATCAAATCCTTCCACCACCGGGAACTAAACAAGATTAATTAAGAACAACAAGGACGGCTCGATTAAAAAGTCGAATGGATTAATATTAGCAAAACCTGGCTTCGTGTCCGCGTCACCTTTTATAATATCTTTGTTGGAATCATGAACCTTCGTAAAATAAAAAATGAGAACCCTACCTGCTTCCGAATTACTCCCCCATCATGGATCATTAATTTATTTTCTTCTAATTTTTTTTTACAATTTTCCACAAATAAAGTAAAAATGTTACAAATGAAAAGTATTATTTAAAAAATATTTTTTACACTATATCAAAAATTAAATCATATTTAAAAATAATTTATATTTAGCACAGGAGAGAGTTTTTTTTTTTTTTGGGTAACACAAATGTAATGAATTATTTGATTCTTATGATTTCATGTCACGCGAATTTGGAAAATATATATCCAATCCAAGGGTCAAACATACAGGAGAGAAAGCTCCAAAATCATTATGCTCACTAAGAAAATCTATCTCAATCAAGTATTAACGAGTCTCATCATGTGCTTTTTTCCAAATTCGACATCTATAGGAACATCTTGACCTTGTCGTTAAAAGAGAACTTCAATTTTCTACAACAAACGTACGTCCCGTGTAATGCAAGCTCGGACGAAACATAGATCATTATCCTATATAAATACCATTAATTGGTCTTGCCCTGAAACACAAACACCTGAAGCCCAATGCACAGAAACACTTGAAGCTTTACCATTTTATTTAGCAATTTGAACATGTTTTTTCTAAGCTCCCGGCATCTCTTCTTTTCTCTCCTTTGCAGTCTTCTCGTTCTTCAGGCACATTGCGATGATCCAAAGGTAAACTAATCTCTCTCTCTACCTACTTACCTACTTCGGTTTCATTGTATTATCTCAATTTTATTTTCAAATTTATTGGAGTTTAAGAGTAAAATATTGCTTAAGTGTTTTTTCTCACATTCTGAGGGTACAGACGTATATCGTGTACATGGGGGATCATTCGAAGGAAATGGAAGTCGCTGAATTACATCACACGAGTATGGTTCGAAGAGTCCTTGGCAGGTTCTTAAACTACGTCCTTAACTCACTGTTATCCAATTTAATAAAAGGGTTATTTGATGATCACTTCATTAAGAGTTATTCTTCGTCTGTGATTGAAAGAGAGTACTCCCACAAGAAACTGACGATCCAAAATGCCTTTGGTTCAGAAACTTTGCACCAGAAGCTCTGCTCCACAGCTACAAGAAGAGCTTCAGCGGGTTTGCGGTGAGGCTAACACAAGAGCAAGCTGAAAGAATGGCCGGTACAACTTACAGATATGCTTTAATTTTTTTTCCCCCTCTTCCACTATAGTTACAACCCTGTTAAACAAGTACAAGTAAGCTGTAGTATTTATACTAAACATATATAATATATACCACGTTAATCAGAAATGGATGGCGTGATCTCTGTGTTCCAAAGCAAAACGCACAAGCTCCAAACAACGAGGTCCTGGGACTTCTTAGGGTTTCCACCGCAGGTGAAAAGAACAACTGTCGAGAGCGACGTCATCGTGGGAGTAATCGATACAGGAATTTCGCCCGAATCTGACAGCTTCAACGACCATGGATTTACTTCACCACCAAGAAAATGGAAAGGCTCTTGCCAAAACATCACTTGCAACAAGTATATATCAATACATCTTTAGCATAAAGGCTCGGTTTAAAGTGTGCAAGTTATATCACTCAATATTTGTCTATATACGTATGCAGCAAAATAATTGGAGCAAAATACTTTCGGGCGAACGGCATTTTTGGAAAAGATGATATTAAATCTCCAAGGGATACAGATGGCCACGGCACTCATTGCGCATCTACAGCCGCAGGAAACTTGGTTAACTCAGCGAGTCTGTTTGGGTTAGGCTCAGGCACTGCAAGAGGGGGAGTCCCATCTGCTCGTATTGCTGTGTACAAAGCTTGTTGGTCATCAGGTTGTGAATCGGCTGACATTCTCGCGGCATTTGACGAAGCAATCTCTGATGGTGTCGACATACTCTCTGTATCACTCGGTCAATCCGAGGAGAAATATGTTGACTTTTTTGAGGACGTATTTGCAATTGGAGCTTTCCATGCAATGAAAAAAGGCATTTTAACGTCAAAGGCTGCCATGAACAAGGGTCCTGAGCTTTCGACCATGACTAGTTTTGCGCCCTGGTCGCTTGATGTGGCTGCTTCCGCTATTGATAGAAAGTTTTTCACCAAGGTTCAGTTGGGAAATGGCATGGTTTTTGAGGTACGTTCTAATCGCTTCCTTCATCAACGCTTTTTATAACCAGTTCAATGAGAATGATTATAACTTAGTTTTTCCACTTTACGTGCAGGGAATCTCTATGAACACATTTGATCTTCAAAATAAAACTTACCCATTGATTTACTCTGGAGATGCACCCAATATCACCGGTGGATTTAACAGTTCCATATCAAGGTGTTGTTCTTATTGTCATAATTACTACAAGACTATTACTAACAATACTATAATTATATCAAAAAATATGTTTAAGAAAATGAAAGAAATGATCCAACTAGAATGGTATTCTAAATAACTAACTGTTGGATGCAGGACTTGCATTGAAAACTCCTTGGACGAAGCGATGGTGAAGGGAAAAATGGTTGTGTGTGATGGGTATTCAACTAAGCTAACTGGATTAGCGTCTGGGGCGGCTGGGATTGTGGTTCCAGCCATTTCCTCAAAAGATTGGGCATCTCAGTTCACTCTTGCTCTTCCTCTCGCTGTACTTACTCAAAACGATGGCACACACATTTTCTCTTACTTGAATTCTACTAGGTATAGAGCTTCAGACATCATATATATATATATATATATTGTTTCCTTGTTAGTACTGATTATTAATCCTTTTTGTTCTATGACCTGCCAAAATTCTGCAGAAATCCAACTGCTACTATATATAAGAGTAATGAAGGCAAAGATTCTTTGTCCCCTTACGTGGCTTCCTTTTCTTCAAGGGGGCCAAACATGATTACTCCCGACATCCTCAAGGTACAGGGTCATAGCTAGTTAGAAGTTTTTCTGCTATCTATGTACATGGCCAAACAGTGAAATGATTTTGTTTATGTTTTTGTATGTAGCCTGATATCTCTGCTCCAGGAGTAGATATTATAGCCGCATGGTCTCCCATTTCCCCTGTTTCAGAAGCGAAAGGAGACAAGAGACTATCAAACTTCAATATAATATCAGGAACTTCCATGGCTTGCCCTCATGCTACTGCAGCCGCCGCCTATGTCAAGTCATTTCATCCCAAATGGTCTCCGGCAGCAATCAAGTCCGCGTTAATGACCACCGGTAATTAATTGGATCCATCAGCATCAACATTGTAAAGCTTTCAAAAAGCTCGAGTTGTTATTTTGTTTACATGCATGGCTCTTCTTTTTCCCCTTCTTTTTTTTTTTTTATGAACATCTACTATTTATATATTGCAGCCACTCCAATGAGTCCCGCTCTCAATCCGGAAGCTGAATTTGCATATGGAGCTGGACAAATCAATCCAGTTAAGGCTGTGGCTCCTGGTTTGGTATATGATATCAGTGAATTAGATTACTTGAGGTTCTTGTTTTGGACAGGGTTACAATACGACGAGCCTAAGAAGCATTACTGATGATGACATCAGCTGTAAGAAAACTAAGAATGAAACAGTGTGGGACCTGAATCTGCCATCTTTTGCTCTTAAGAGAAGCATCACAGAATCTTTCAGCAGTGTGTTTCATAGAACTGTGACGAATGTTGGAGCAGCTGGATCTATATACAAGGCTAAAGTGATTGTTCCTCCATCCTTGTTATCTATTCAAGTGACACCAAATGTTTTGTCGTTCTCGTCCGTGGGTGAGAAGAAGTCGTTTACAGTAATGGTTGAAGGAACCATAAACGTGGGAATAGTGTCCGCTTCTTTGATTTGGGATGATGGAAATTTCCAAGTGAGGAGCCCCATTGTGGTTTACAGTACTCAGTGAGTGCCATACATGGATCATCAGTCTCGAGCAAACATGTTAAGTCTTTCTTTTGGTTTTCTTCAAGTATGCTGAATAACTCAATAAAGTCCAGTGACTGAATTATACACGTTCAGTCATTCATGTATATTTGCTTTAATATGTCGTTGTTTATTCTCCTATGTAAAATAAAAAGGTATTGAATTGTTTGATAGATTGATGGCTGATGATTATAAGACGGTGCGATAATAATATAATGTTTCCTTCTGTACAATTAAGTATGCTTAATTTATCATAATTCATAAGTAATTTCATTCTATATTTTGTCTTAATTAACCGTGACCGGCCATTTCTCTTGAACAACATTTTGCATCACAAGCTTGAACAATCAAGTATACTTAAGCCACCTGCGGCAAAGTTACGGTGCCATGGAGAAGACAAAGAAAAAGATACTATGAGAAAACTAGCTAGTAATTCATTATATTCTCTTGAACTTAAGTGATGATATAAATAACATAAATTAATAATACTACTTAAATCCTAACATTATAATTAAATCCATTTATATTATTAATATTTTTGATATTTATATTGTGGTTTTTAGAATTGGAAGCATTTTAATTAATAAAGTAGTAAGAAATAATGGGTATTTTTGTAAGTTTATATTTTTTTTAAAAAAATAAATTTATAAAATGTCATTCTTGAGCTTTATTAGTGGTATATGTAATCTTATCTCAAATTATCTTATAATTTAAAATGGAAGAAATAGTTGCTAATTAACTATTGTTGCTTGGTTGTTAACTGAATTACTCCGCTAACAACTATCCTGCAGTAATATATTGACAACCCTTGCACATGGCTTCAAAATAATTTTGTCATTTTATGAAATTTTTATATTTAAATTATTTGTACAAGACTTGAGACCTGAAAATGATTTTTCCTTTGAATATATATATATATATATATATATTAGAAATCATTTCATGAAATAGAAAATTTAAACCCAATTAACCTACTTCGATATTAGAAATCATTTCATGAAATAGAAAATTTAAACCCAATTAACCTACTTCGATATATATATATATATATATACTGATTTTAATTATCACTTGTACACTGATGCACGGCACTGAATTAGTCATTCTCACGACTTTCTTCAACGCGAATTCGGATAATTAAAATCAAAGATATACTTCCTCGTGTTTAAAACACATCCTGTTTTTTTTTTTCAACTAATTTTAATTCAAAATATGACCAACTTAATATTTGTAAAAAATTTCTTCTTTTCAACTATTATATTTATTAATCTAAATTCTTGTATTTACTATGAATTTACTACCTTCTTCTCACTCTTCATAAATTGGGATTACAATATATGTTTTCATGAGAATAATAATTTTATTGGTATGTAAATTTTTATTTGATGTTATGCTTATATTTTAAACTGAAAAGAGTATATATATAAAAAAAAACTTCAAAATCATTATGAATATACTCTCTCCATTTAATATTATATGGCATTTTAATTGAATTACATTTTCGATGAGTTAGTTATTAATTATATTTAAAATTACAAACTTTTTTTCTGTTATTATTATTATTTAATAGGATGTTTCAATTAAAAAACTTCATTTACTATACCTAATAAGTTAGTTAATTATATTTTCAATTTCATTTAGTATCTATTAGATTCTATACCTACCACAACTCACACGTGCAGATTTGATTCTGTAACCTCCTAAGGTATAGATCATGCCAATTGAGCCACAAGTCTTGACAAACCAAGCAAACATTTTTTAAAAGAAAAATATGTTAAAACATGCAAAAATATGTTAAAACGATCAAAGTAAAATAGGAAAAAAAATTTCCGCAAAAATAGCTCCACATAAATTAATGACATTGTAACATGGATCCAATATACAAGATGTAAAAGACGAGTTGGTAAATTGGGTAGTACTTGGCATTACTTAATTGGGCCTAATAAAGCTGACCTTGTACTGCGGCTGCAGCAGAGGCCCCGTGTCTGCTTGAACTTTTATATCTTTGGAATCATATGAAACTTAAAATCATGTGACATCTTAATTAGCTTAACTCGGATTTGTTCAAATCACATCACCGCGATTGAAAATAAAAATTAAGAGTTGAAACGCGAGTGGATTATTATCAAACTCCTTCCATCGCCAGAAACCAAACAAGATTCAGCAGGAACAACCAGGACGGCTCAGATTGAAACAGGAAAAAAAATGTTAAAATGGATTAATATTATCAAAACGTGGTCTCATGTCTGCTTTACGGCTGCTTGACCTTTTATATCTTTGGAATCATGAATCCTCCGTCGTGAAATTAAAAAAAGAAAAGAATAGAACTCTACCTACTTCCAAATTACTTCTCCATCATGTAAACAACTTATTTTTTAAAAAATAGTTTTAGTTATTTTCATGTCATTTTACGTATAAAGAAATGTCATTAACTATTCTCTTTTAATTTTTACTCTCTTACAAGTTTTATGAGTAGAGTAAAGTCTTGTAGAAGAAATGTAGAAAGAATTTAGCTAACTTGAATCGAGTTTAAAATGCTCTCCAAATAGCGTGGAACTCAAATCCTAATAGCACTATTACAAAAAAGTTTTACAAGAGTGTTTTTTTTTTAAAGTTATGCTCTTGTAAAAAAAGGAGCACTTATAAAATGCTTCTATATGATTGACCTAAGAAGCACTTTTTTTGAAAAGCGCTCTCATGTAATGGCATATAGGAGCGCTCTCAATATAAGCACCACCAAATAATGGCATATGTATAATGAGAGCGCTCTTTTGTAAGTGTTTTGTTATTTCTTTTTAAAAATTAAATTGTTTAAAACTTTCTCTTGTAATTTCTTTATAAATGACTAATCCCAATGTCAAAAACCAATCCAAAAACAAATATAATTGAACACAAGAAGTTGTATACAATGAAAGATCTTGAAAATAAAACAACTATTTCAATTTCCTAATTAGTCTAATCTACTTTAACAAATAAAACATTTGATATTTTTCTAACATTAGAAGTTACCTATTACAAACAACTAATTATATATTTTCACCACTCTTCAACTAACTCTTGTATGACTCCAATGATAAAATGAGAAGTCTTTGCTTCTACATAATACTACATGAGAAATAAAAGCAACATATAAGTAATTAATATTATATTAATTTAATTTTAAAACACTTAGTTTACATTCTTAGGAATGATCAACTCTTGTTGTGTGATTACTTTTATCATAAATTTCATCACACAGCATCTACACTCCCAACCTTATATCTGTGTTAGTACCTATAAAATAATAAAAGATGTCATTATTCAAATATGATAAAAAAATTTTAACTTAATTACTAACACTTTTGGGATGAAATTATATATATAATTTTGATCTTCTGGTGAAATTCCAGTAGAGTCTCTATTATAATTTGGATGTTTCATAATTTTTCAAAAATTCTACATTAATTTAGAACAACATATTTAGAATAACAAATTTAAAATATCAATCAAACAACCATTTAGATGTATACCGACTTGTTTTATTAATTATGCAAATAATACAAACATTTGTTATTTTTCACGTATAAAACTTAACAAGATTAGGTTTTTTGGTATTTGGAGGGAAACATTTACTACCTCGATAATATGCTATGACCCTATCAAAATTAAGCATACCAATTAGGAACTCTTATTCTAACTGTTATAATAGACATGTATAAAGAATATAAAATAAAAAATTTATTGATTAAATAATATCCTTATAGGGTTGCAGTTCTTAATGTTACTATCTTTTAATGAGTCAAGATAATATTATCAAAACCTGGCCTCTTGTCTGCTTTACAGCTGCTTGACCTTTTATATCTTTGAAATCATGAATCCTCCGACGTGAAATAATATATATAGCATCTACACTCCATATTACTTCTCCATCATGTAAAAAAGTCATTTTTAAAAAAAAGAGTTTTTGTTATTTTTCAAAGTCATTTTACGTAAAAAATTCATTTTACGTAAAAAGAAATATCATTATTTTCTTTTAATTTTTACTCTTTTACAATTTTTTGAGTAGAGTAAAGTATTGTAGAAGAAATATAGAAGGAGCTTATCTAATATGAATCAAGTTCAAAATGCTCCCCAAATAGCATGGAACTCAAACCCAAACAGACAACGTAACTCTTCTCCTCCATTGCGTTTTCGCTTCCTCTCTTTCTTTTCTTTCTGTCACAAGTAACTTATGATATATTATTTTTGTAAGGAAAAGTGATTCAAACTTATTGTTTGAGATTGTTTTGTGGCAGTCAAGAGCCTAAATTAATCTTGATAAACTTAGTGAAGAAAATCTCAAGTAAAACTTGAGGACCAAAAGTAATATAAACATAGTTAAAATTAAACTAAGATAAATATCTATGTACTTTTCTCTCTCTCTCTTGCTCTTTGAATATTTGATGATATCATTCCTTTCCTTATCTTGTGAAGTGTACTAAATTTTTAGTCCCATTTTAGGCCAAAAAAATAATTTAGTCCCATTCACCTCCTCTTAGTCTCATTTACATTGATTGCATTGCTTTATTAATTGGAAGGGTTTCGCACGTTGTGGCCATGTCTTATCCAAATCCTTTGACCCTTTATAATTATCTTAGGTTGCCTTTGGCTTCGACACTATCATCATAACACGCTTCATTTTTCATTGGTTGGACAATTATTCCTTTGCAAAAGCATCTCCATTTGTTTCTTTCCCCCATTTTTGCTAGACTTTGCAAATTAAAGCATCTCGTAAGGTAGAGCACATGAACATCGACATTAGTGGGGAGTTTCTGTCTACCACATGGCCGTCTGAATCAAAACTAGGATTAAACTTGATCAACTTTTAATTATTGTATTTATATGTATGACAATAACTTAAATCATTAAAACAAGAGAATTTAAATTATAATAAAAATTATACACAAAAGTAAATTTGAGGGAAAATGACAATTAAAAACCCATAAGAACATTAATGACAATTACTGATCCTGAATTATTGAAATCTCAATAATAGATCATGGTCTTTACTTGTTATTAAAAATTGTGAATAAACAATTGCAAATATGTGAGAATCTATTGTGAATTTTGATTTTTTATTATCACTATACATATAAAATGCTTGAGAAATCTAGAAAACACATTGGGATTATTTGCAACATTAATTGAAAATTTATAGAAGTCAATTATAAATCACAAGCCAATCACTTATATTTGTTTATT